GAAAAAACCTTGATGTTAGGAAAGTGTGACAGCAAGAGGAGAAGGGGACGACCGAGGATGAGATGGCTGGACAGTGTCTGCGAAGCAAACAACATGAATTTGACACAACTCCGGGAGGCAGTGGAAGATAGAAGGGCCTGGCGTGCTCTGGTCCATGGGGTCACGAAGAGTCGGACACGATTAAACGACTAAACGAATGAACGAATATATATATACTGTATGGTGTATCTGGGGGGAAAATGGTATGTCCCATTAAGGCTCTGAATAAGCATGGTGTTACAGCTGAAGTCTTGGAATTAGACAGAGCTTGGGAGATACATGGATACATAACAGACAAAACAAAAATTATTCACGAAGGCTTTCACGGCTGGGATCTAATGGCTGTTGTGGGGTTTGGGGGCTTTTTGGCCGTGTTCTGAAGGTTGTTTTTCCTAACGTTTTGCCAGTCTCTGTGGCCGGCATCTTCAGAGGACTGGAGTAGCACTTTGTGCTCTGGTGCAGTTTGTTTGGGAATTGAGTATTTATAGCTGTGGGATCAGCTTTTGTCCTTTTCAGGAGATGGATGATTATGGTGATCAGTGTGTTTCTGTTGTGGGCGTATTGTTGTGATAAAGAAGAGAGATTATCTGTCACTGTGATTGATGGGTGTCATTAGGTTCTGAACAACCTTCAGAACACGGTCAAAGAGCCCGAAAAACCCACAACAACCAAAACAAAAAGTCATAGAGTCATATATATATTCAGGGAGTTCTACCTGACAGACACCTGACAGAAACTCAACTGTGGCTCACCTGGGAGAAAGGCCTTAGCCAGAAAGTTTAGAGGGTGAGCTAGGCCTAGTTCCACCCTAGCTTCCTGTTAAGACAGAAAGCTCCCAGCCAGCACTAGGGCAGGAACAGGAAGCTTGGGCAGAGCTAGCCAGGCAGAATTCTCAAAACAGAGAATTATGGGATTTGTAGTCCAAGAAATCTAGGGAGGGAAATTACTAATAGCAACCTTAATAAGGTTTTCAATGTATGTGGCATATTTAAGGAGTGGTGTTTACTAACGCCACATCTCTGTGAGTGGGGAATTGTCCCCATAATAGAGTTTTCAATGTATGTGGCAATATTTAAGGAGTGGTGTTTACTAACGTCACATCTCTGTGAGTGGGGAATTGTCCCCAGGTCTCTTGAATCTCCGTCCCACTGCATCACAGTTCTCCAGTCAGCCTGAGAAGAGATATTTTGACGATAAAGTTTAGTGTCCATAAATAAAGAGAAACACCAGTACAGCTGTTAACTCACAATACTGTCACGCAGTGCTGGCAGAAAGGATCTGTAAAATCTTAATTGCTGTTTCCAATGAAATACTAGGTTTTTCCCCCACCCAAAAGCCTGTTATAAAATAATATCCAGTGCCGGCTTTATCAGACCCATCAGGAGAATAAAGAAGTTTTGCCATTCATCTCCTCTGTCCTAGGAAGAGGGAGAAAATCCAGACAGCTGACACTGAATATAAAAATTGTCATGAGAAATGTACCCAAAGAAGCCAGGGGAATGTCACTTCGTTGGCGGACTGAAAGTGGGTCATCTCTTTTCATAAGAGAGCCATTGTCCTGGAAATAAAATCTCCATTTCACCTTCGTTCTCTGGCCTTGATCAATAGGAGGAAATTAAAGTCCGTCCTGAGAAAGGGCGGGGGGGGGAGCCCAATTTGCTGACAGGGTGATGAAAGATCCAGTAATAGGGCCTGAAAGCAAAGTTCAGGTGAGTTTTCAGCGCCATCTCTTGGACACTGGAAGGATGTGCTGGTCATGGATGCATTTTGGGGGAAAGTTTTTAAAGTGTTTTTTAAAATTACAAGGATAAAATCAACATGCAGAACTTTGAGCAAAAAGAGAAAACAACACAGAAAATAAACAGAACGCCACAGGAAGCAAAATTTCCAGAAAACAGCACCCTCTTTCACAAGCTGCCATCCTCAGGAGCTGGCAAATTCAAGATTTTAGCCTCAATTCTAGTGCCTTTTCCAGCTGTCATATAACCACCATTCTAAAGTCCAGGGCACTCCAGATGTTTAAGAACAAAAATCCCCATGAACCACAGCTACCATGGCTAATGATTAGGACGGCGAGTGTTGAAGTCCATCTGGAGACCGCTGGGATTTGAGAAAGATTTCTGCAGAGCTGAACCCAAAAGATCCAGCAAGTTTTACTCTATAGAGACTTAAATTCCAAATTCCAAGCCATCTCAAAAACTGAATCTCCCTTTATGAATCTGTCCAGGTGTTAAGACCATCAAGAGAAGCCTACTCACAGTCCCACCACCTTAAAAGGTGCACTTGTTGGGGAGACAGGAAAGGACCTTCTCTGTCATCAAGAGAAGCCTACTCACGGCGCCACCACCTTAACAGGTACACTTGGTGGGGAGACAGGAAAGGACCTTCTCTGTCATCGCTCCCAGACTTTGGAACTCCCTCCCACAAGAACTGAGGCTGGCCCTATCTTTTCTGTCCTTCTGCAAGCAAATGAAGACCTTTCTATTCAGACAGACTTTCCTTCAATGATTGATTCTCTCGGAGACAATGAACAGGGTTGGTTGGGTGATTTCATTTTTATAGTCCCTATCTAGTGAATCTATTACTCTGGGCAGTGTATAACAAATACAAAAGAACATATATGATAGAAACAAATGATTGTAACAAACCCTAAACTATTATACAGTGGTGCCTTGCTAGACAATGATAATCCAATCCACTGAAATCGCTGTTTAGCGAAATCATTGTCTAGCGAAAAGCATTTCCCCATTGGAATGCATTGAAACCGGTTTAATACGATTAAACATTGGGGAAGAATCGTTGTTGTCTAGCAAAGATCGGCCATAGGAAAGCCGCTTTGTGAACCACTGATCAGCTGTTTAAATCACTGTCTTGCGAAGCTTAGGTCCCGAGAACACCTGTTTTGCGAGCGTGGAGGGGGCTGTCAAAATCGTCATCAAGCGAAACTTGGTTTGCGAAGCAGGGACCAAACATTGTCCAGCGAAATTCCCCCATAGGAATCACTGTTTTGCAAATCGCTATAGCGATCGCAAAAATCCAATGTCTAGCGAAAAAACTGTCATGCGGGGTAACTGTCTAGCGAGGCACCACTGTATTTTATATTTTGTTGCTTTGAAATCTGTTTTTTTAATGCTTTTACGTAACATCCCTAACGATTTCATAGTTGATTAATTTACTCTGATTAGCTTTTAGTATTTTAATTATGCAAACTAGCTTGCCCCCCCTTTTTTAGGAGAAAAGTGGGGCAAAAATATTTAAAAGAAATAAGTAACATTCCCGCTCCGTATGTTGATGAATCGGTTGTACATTGTCCGGTCAATTAGATCACTGTCGTCTTGCGCCTACTGAACACCAACAGCAGCTTATGTGACTTGAGAATGATTTGCACCATCGCCTAGAACCATTCTGAAGACCCGACAGGGCAGTAAACCCATAAATCTATGAGCTTGCACTTCTCCACTTGTCTGAGTCAGCAAACAGCATGTTGTCTGTCATGCTTCTTTGGCTGCGTCAGGTCAGGCACGACAAGCTGCTGATTTGAAAAGTCACTTATTCAAGTCACTGGGGGTAGGTGTGATTTATCCTCCCGTTTTTGCAATGAGCCAAGGGTGGAGAATTCACAAAAGGCTCAACTCAGCAGCTTTTGAAAAAAAGGCAGGGAACAGATCTCTGATCATATAGGAGTGTGGTTACACACCGGGGGGGAACAGTATTTGAATTGGGTTTAGTATGTTTGAAAACAATTTTTTTAAAAAAAAATGACTGCATGACACACATGGAAGTACAGATTTTTTTACTGGGAAATATGATGTGGGTTGTTGTTGTTGGAAAGTGAGGTATTTTACTCAGCTGCAAGAGGGTCATTTATTTTAAATTGCTTGCAAAACTTACTTATTTTGAATTGTTTTGGCATATGTGAAGGCCTCTCTCAGTATAAATTGTGTCTTTGGGGTTTGCCACTCACCGGAGTGCCTTTCGTATGTCCTTTCTGTCTCCACCCCAACGTGTGTGTGTATGTGTCCCTCCTTCGTAAACCTAGAAGTGATGATCTAGCCAAAATGTCTCTGGTCAACTTCAGCCCCAGCTGCTGGTTCCCCGCTCCCTCTCCTTCTAAACCCCCTCTGTGTGTGTTGCCTTCCTTCAAAAGCCTAGTCAATTGTGTGTCTATCTTTCTCCATATGCGCGCTATCAGGCTGCAGGGAAACCTCTGGATTTTTTTTCCTGTCTGTCATTCTGTGTGAGCGCTATGCCAGATTGCAAGAAAAAAAGAAAAATATTGAAAATAACATCACCCCAGCAGCAGCTGTTGTGAAATTACTTCAAATGCATTGCTTTCATTTGTGCTCTCCATGTTTCCAAAGAGGATGCTAGTCTCAAACATTTTATTAATGTATAATGACAACAGAAGTTTTTGAATAACAAAATATCAGGATAAAGACCTATTTTAAAGGGTTTTAAAAAGAGGGGATTCCACTGGGGTGCCAGAATGATTCTAATAAAATTTTCTCTTCTTGGAGAATTCTGGGTATTGAAGTCTAAAAATAAGAGTTCATTTCCTCCTGATAATTTCCTGCCTCAGCAGCAGATGCGAAACCATCCATGGGTCTTCTTCTGTCTGGACTGACCGTATCAGGAGGCAAAGTTGCCTCAGGCCGCAGCTGCTGGGGGGGGGACTACATTAAGGTGTTAGAAGACAGCTTTCTACCAGAAAGTGAATACCGTATTTTCCGTGTATAAGACTTTTCTACCAGAAAGTGAATACCGTATTTTTCTGTGTATAAGACCCCCCCTTTTCTAATCCAAAATTAAGAAATCTAAGTGGGGCTTAGCAAGTGCAGGGGAAAGGGATCAAAGCGCTGCAGGATCGCTTTGATCCCTGCTTTCCCCGCCCCTCGTTTTTGTTCTCTCCTTAGCTTACTTCCGTGTATAAGACGACCCTCAATTTTTAGTCTAAAGATTTTAGACCAAAGTATCGTCTTATACATGGAAAAATACAGTAGCTTTCTTTTCCCTTAGCTAACCTGCTGCCTTCCACTGTAATGGTGGATGCTTTCCCACAGCCAAGATGGAAGGAGATTCAACAGCCAGTCCAACGAGGATTCGTTATCCTTTTTTCTTTAATGGAACGAGAAGGTAAAAGGGAGGATGGCAGTACTCGTGCCACGGGGGGTGTAGAATCTGCTCCATGTTTTCATCCAAACTTTAAAAGCTGGTACCCAAAGGGTATTTGAGGGCTATGTTTCAGGACCTCAGAAAGCTCACATAAGCAGCTGTCGCCTTGAGGGGAAACCCTAGATTGCCCTTCATTGGAAGGAGACAAATGGCTTTTTTCAGGGTGACAACCTGCGACGTCTGTTTTTCCTCCCTCTCTCCAAGAAAAAACCTGCCCCATCCTACCTAAGACCCCAAGCTCTTCCCCCACAAGAGCAGGGGTTAAGTGTGTGAAAATGGCTTTTCCCAAAGGCTGAATCGTGGTGAGTCCCGACAGCCACTCTATCGGCCCCCTTTCCTGGCCGTCCCCCAGGGATCCCCATGTTTGTAGATCTCATGAGTTGCCCCGCTGGCTTCCTTGGCGATCTTTCGGAACCTGCGCATGTAGACCAGGACGAGGATGAGCAGCACCGCTTGCACCAGGAGGAAGAGGAAAAGGCAGATCTGGGAGAAAAGGGCCAGTCGGCAGTATTGGTACTGGCAGGTGGCGATGATCTCGTCCTCCATCAAATAGGCGATGATCCTGCCTTGCAGATGGGAAGGGGAGGCGCACTGGAGGTTGCGGTAGAGGGTTCGGTTTTGCTGCCACTGGAGCCAGGAGCGCAGGTAGAGGATGTGGCAGTCGCATTCCCACGGATTCCCCCACAGATGGACCTCCTGAAGGTTCTTGAGGTTGTCAAAGAGCCCGCTGGGGATGAACGTGAGCTCGTTGTTGTTGAGGTAGATCTTCCTGGTCGAGGGGGCGAACGAGGAGGGGATGGTGTCCTCGTTGGCCTCGGTTGACATGCAGTCCACGATATCCTCGGCGCACCGGCAGAGTTCAGGGCACGAGGGTGCGGCAAGAGGGAGGGAACCGAGGAGAAGAACGGTCCAGAGAAAACTCATCTTTAGCTGTGAACACACACAAGAGTCTCCGCTTAGAACAGGACACAGGAATCTCTATTTAGCACCTAGATGTTCGGGGACTCCAAGGCCTAGAAATCCCAGCCAGTACCACTAGTGGCAAAGGCTTCTGGGAGTTGTAGTCCAAGAACACCTTGGCCACCACTAAGGAGCCAGACACCACAGCCTTCAAGGAGAGCAAGGGCTGGGAGTATGTTTCTGGCCACAGATGGAACTGGATTTCAGAGAGAGCTTCTCGGGGGCCATATGGAAGTCAGAAAGGCCAGCCTCAAATAAATGACCCTCAGATTTTAACCTAAAGCTCAGGCTGTCCAACATGAAATCTTAGGGAAGCCTGTCGGTCTTCTAGAATGGGAAAAACTCTGCACAGAAGCTGGGAAGCCTAGGGAAGGGGAGGAAGACCCTTCGGGAGCTCCAGAGGGCGAGGCATGGATCCGAGAGGGTCCCTACTCCTGAATCAAGAAAATCACAGATGGGACCATCGTTTTAATCCGCCAGGGTGTAATGGCGTCATAGCTCTGCAGGTCAAAGGCCCAAGACTTTTTGATGAGCAGGAATGAGGCCCTCATGTTCACCACCCTGCCAGTAAGGATGGTCTGCCATTCTCCTCACCCCCATCCTGTTTCTTCCCAGTTTGGCTGCAGTCCTCACAGAACTTGGAAGGAAAAATCAGTTTCCCCAGCAACCACGTAATCTGTATTTCCTAATGGGGAAATGCGGTTGCATTGTGAGCAACCTCTGTTGTTAGGCATCTTGACCCATTGGCCTTACAAAAGACTTGTTCCTTATAGAGAGGGGAACTGCTAAACCTGCTTGCTGAAATGGATCGACACGGCTGCATTTTTGTCTATGGGCTTCTCTGCCCTTTTAGAGACTATTGTGGGGGATCCCTACATTTTGAAATGGACCAGTACCCTGTTTTTCTTGAGTCACCGATTCAATATGTGCATTACCAGCAATGCACATATTGAATCAGTGACTCAAGAAAAATAGCAGAAAAATGATGCTCAACCTTTCCCAAGGCTGAGTCCTCCTGAAATCATTAGCGTTATAATCATCAGCATCATCTTAGAATTACAGAGCTGGAAGGGACCCTATGGACTTTCAAGTCCAGCCCGTCAAGAAGGCACTGTGGGAGAATCCAGCTCCCAACATATGGATCCATAGACAGATCCTTAAACCCCTGAGTTATCCAGCAATTTGTGTTGGACTACACACTCCATAATCCCTGATCACAAGCCATGCTGCATCAGGTGATGGGAATTGTAGTCAGACAACGCCTGGGGGGATGTTTTTGTGCGAAAAGGGAGAACCTGTGTCAAAGAGCTAGATCTCCAAGATTAAGTGATCTTGAGGGATAAAGGAGGTTGAACCACAGCCTGCCTATGGCACTAAAAATGCAACAGAAATGAATATATACCTAGCAACTGGCTACCTTTTCACAATACCCCCCAAAAATCACTGTGCCATAGGGCTGACTACAGTATGAACTGATACAAAGCAGTCTGGTTTTAAGCAGGGTGTTGAAGGCACATCTCTTCCAACGGATGATCAAGATGGGTTTAATTGCTTTGGCTATTCTGGTGCTCGCCATTTCAGAACCCAATCTGGTGCTCTGTGTCTTTGTTTGTTTGCTTAATTAATTTTCACCTGGTCTCCGTTTGTCTGAACGACGTTTGCTAGCTAGCAATTTTAAAACTGCAGAGGTGGAAGGGAACCTATGGATCGTCGAGTCCAGCCCTTGTCTAGGAGGCACAGCGGGGAATCGAACTCCCACCCTCTGGCTCTTTATCCTGATGCCCA